AAGAGCAAACTGAGTCTAATCTTGGCTGGAACAGATCACCAAGTCTTTTATATTGTAGATGCTGCTGGGTTTGAACTGTGAACGTTTCCGTTAGATGTCGAATGCTTCACTCTGGTGGCATCGGCTTGTTTCGCTTAAAAATACGAGCCAGTCATGCCAAGGCTACTTTCTAGGGCTTGGGGAGTCAGCAGTAGTTCCTTCCTGTGTCGAAAGGTAAATGGCAATTCAGACAAAGGAAGAGAAGGGACTCTAGTCTCATTCATGACCTAGTGAACGTCTTCTCCAGGCTCACCCCGGGTCCCCGGCCCCCGAGGGAACAGGTTAGCTCAGCGACTAACTCATGAGGGACAAGCAACTGAATGGTTCATCGCCCCACTCGCTCCCTTTGCGTTGATTCCCCGGCCCCTCCCTCTTGGTGCTCTACTGCTTCATCTTCCCCACAACGTTGTTATTCTGGGTAGAAGCCACACATTATTATCCTGGGTAGAAGCATTCAGCAGCAGTCAGGCTAATGTGTGGCTGAGATCAGCAAGCCAAACCAAACCCCCCGAGTTTTGCTCTTGCGGTAATTCCAGCTCCCAGTAACACCATGTGTTTCAAAGGATGACTGTGCGCTGTGGTTTTCTTGGCTGTAATGTTGATAGAAGATTGCTTCTCTTCCATGGCACCTCTGCATGTTTGGAATCATTTAGACTACCCAAGGATCCTATGAAGTCAGGGAAGGGACAGTGTGTATGAATTTAAGAATGTGGGAGTGCTAGATCCCTCGGGTGGGAAATACCTTGATTCTTGGCTTTGCACAAGAAAGAAATTCGTGCCGAAGTCTGGTTTGTGATCCACATGAGTTTTTATGTGGATAAAAGCATCAGGTTTTACAGTTAAGAACACAGGCAACCACGTGGGACTATACACAGCACAGCCGCATGGAAGGCAGAGGAGCAGGGAGGAAAGAGACGTGGTCTCCTGGTTCCAGTTTTTTGGGGGCCTGTGACTTGGAGGCGTGGTCTACCCTACTGGTTAACTCCATTGGCTGAATTAAGCCCACCTGGTCTAGATTGGGCCAATCCAGGTGTACCAGTCACGTAGGTGTACATCCCCACCCTGCCCCCACCCCGGCTCAGGGCCGAATTGGTGCATGCCTGGTCCCTGTCCTGCTACCTAACAGGAGTACTTGAATGCCCTTGGAAGGTTACATAGGAGTCTCATGATCAGGTTACTTCTGGGGTTTCTGGGAAAGGAAATGAGCCAAGGTTGGTGGTGGAAAGGATCTTTACCTTTATTTGTAATGTCAGGGAAGGGAAAGGGAAGGGGTATTCTGCACTTTTGAATTAAAAAATGTATTTCTAAACTACTTTACCAAAGGACCTGGGTAACGCAGCAGGTTGCCTGTTGGGCTGCTAACTCCAGGCCAGGGGTTCAAAATCCAGTAGCTGTTTTATGGGAGAGAGATGAGGCTGCAGACTCTACTATAAAGACCGAAGGCTGGAAACCCTCTCTGGGGCTGTTCTTCCATGCCCCGAAGCAGTGGTTCTCAACCTTCCTCGTGCCGCCACGGCCCTTTCAGACCGTTCCTCATGCTGTGGTGACTCCCCAGCCATAAAATTATTTTCCTTGCTACTTCATCGCTGTCATGTGCTACTGCGATGACTACAAAGCACTCTACTGTCAGTGGGCTCTTCCTGTCTCTACATTTCACTAGGCAAAAGAGAGCGAGTGGGAACTAGAACCCTAGAAGACAAGCCAAGAAGGGGGGGTAGGAACGAGCACGTTGCCCGTGCATTTCCAGTGTTTCCAGCATCTTTCTCCGTCACCACGGAGAAAGGCCCACAGTTCCTTCAACCTATGCTATGCCCTCGGGAAGAAGCCCGGCTCATTCCCACCCACCAAGCCCCTCTCTCTCTGCTTTCGGGGTGTTTAGATCCATCACTTTATTCAGCACTTGAAATGTCGCAGTGAGACAAGAGAAAGGTCTGAGGCCACAGAACAAAGAACCACACACTCATGCACAATACAAAAACACATCTGGAAGGAAACAAGGAAAACACATCAGAAGAACCGCATCACATCAGTGCCAGGGATTTTTAATGCAAACTAGGTACGTGGACGGCCCTCGACTCCCACTCTGAGCCAGTCCGCGCTCCGGTCGGGAGGAGGCCAGGTGGTTGGTGCCCTGATGGGTCCACGTGTGGCTCGACCTCGGTTTCAGACGAACTCTGTGATGGTCAGGGAAGGGTTTTTCTCCTCCTCAGCCTCCACAAAGGCCCAAGTCTCCTCGTCAAAGTCGGATTTTTTCAGGCTGGTGAAATATAAAAGGGGATGAGTGTCATTCACCACTTAAGAAAAAAGAAAATGTTTTGAAAATGATGGTTGCAGCAATTTCACTGATGCAATTGAATTATGGATGCCTGATCTAATTGAATTATGGATGGTTATATCTGTAAGAGCTCCCAATAAAAGACTTTTTAATCCCTCATGTCTTTCTGCATTATCTATCTATCTATCTATCTATCTATCTA